AAAAAACACAAAGGGGAGTCAGGATAGGAGAGGTGGCTTAATAAGCATGATTAGATAATCTATGCCTAGTGAGCCTGGTTCTATGGGTTAGACTAGGTAGTAGGGTTCTTGCTTAATCATTAGCTCCTATGTGCCACTTCCTAGTGGCTATTTTTGTCTCCTTTAGGAATTCAACTAAACTTTCTTGGCCGTCCTTAGAAAAGAGATAGAAAAGATTATAATCTTTTCTATCTATCCTAGAGAATGCTCTATATCTGACATCTCTATAGGCTGGGCAATGGAATAGTAGATGATATGGGGTCTGCTCCTGATTGGTTTGGCATAGATTGCATGGACTCGCACATCCCGTCCGAGGACGATATTTTACTCATCTTTAACGGTCAGACGGGGGGAAGGCTGCTGGATGTGCCCGCGCCGCTGAGTTACCGTCTGCAGAGGCAGAAATTCCTCAAGTTAATCGCAACAGGCGTTGAAATCCAGGTTGGATACACCACGCTGTCACCCTGCACGCCGATTGCAGCACATGTTTGACTGTTGGATTCCAGTATGGCAAGCGTCTCGTTGGGGTAGAGTCCGATTCGAAGACGGCGACGGCGATCTTTGAGGATGGCACCCGCGCGACAGGAAGACTGTTGATCGGGACCGAGGGAGCCCATTCGCGGGTCCGTGAATATCTCCTGGGTGAGAAGGGAGCATTGCACCCGTCGCCTATAGTCGCCACCGCGACCGTCATGCGTCTACCGGAAGATGTCGTTCGGAGTGTGAGAGAACTTCATCCGCGATACTGCATTGCTTTTCATCCGGATGGCTACTTCATGTGGCTCGGGAGTAAGTCCACTGTGTTCTTCTCAGGATTGATGTAACTTTTCACTGACCGGCAATCTCAGTTCACAGCCAAGCTGAAAAGCTAGCCGACTGCGAATTCATGTTCCTTCTGTCATGGATCTCCGAATCTGAAACTGGCTTGTCGGGCGAGAAAATCCTGGAGGATTTGAAAAAACGAGCTCTCATTTTCGGCGAGCCCTTCCAGAAGGTCATGCTGTCGATTAGCCCTCAGACGCGACTGTGGCATAACCGGCTCTCATACTGGCCCACTGCCGTGGGACAGCCGTAATGGTACGGTCACGTTGGCCGGCGATGCGGCTCACCCGATGACATTCCGTAAGTTCCCCTGCTTAATTTCCTGGTGATGATTGCTAAGTATTCGATTGCTGCTGCAGACCGTGGGCAGGGTCTCAACAATGCCATCCTCGACGCGGCATCGTTAGGCCGCCAGATCGCTCTGCTGAAGGATAAGTCAGTCGACTCTTTAGCTCCTGCTGTGGCGGCGTATGAAAAGGAGGTTTGGGAGAGAGGTAAAGAGGCCGTGAAGATGTCGAACGTGAATAGTCTCTCCATCCACAATTGGGAGCAGCTGCAAAGCTCCCCTCTTTTCACTGCCGGGTTGAAGCAGAAAGCAGCGAAGCCCGAGAAATCATCGTGAATGTCGTTGTCGGAGGGAAATATGTGTATATAAAGTATCTAAGGTATATAAGCAGGTGTAGTACACGTAGATACGAGGAAACCATCGATGGAGACTGTCACGACGATCCATTTTGACAAAGCTGGCTTGACAAGACTCCATGGTCTCGTGATCAATACGCCGGCCCTACCCCTAAGTCCCGGACAGGCATAGCTGCTAGCGTCGATCTCCAGATCGCTTGACAAAGGATCAAATTGTATTTACCGAGTACTCCATTCTTCTTGCTCTTCTCACAAAGCTTTTGAGAATACCTGGCTGGTGAGAAATGGAAAGAGCAGGCAATCTGCATACACCTAAACAATTATTATCAGGCTGACAAACCGCAGACACACCTTCGCTTTTACAACCTGGAACATTGTCGTGTCTATTTCCCTTGCAACGACGCGACAAACTTCTCTAATTTCTCTCTTTTCATTTGGAGATACCCTCTCAAGACAGGCCTCTATCGCTGAGCAACTCTATCTCTGTATCTATTCCGATGCCAGCGCCTCCTTCGCAGTGATGCGCTCCAAAAATTTATACGTTCTAGGCAGCTTTGCAAGACGCCTTATTTCCTCCAGACAATCTCGCGGCCATTATGCGAAAAGATGACACATAACTGCAATGCGTGTCCGTTCCTCTTCCCACAAACATTTCGGAAGATGGCACGAATCTTTCCCATCTTGGCAATCGCATGATTTTCACATGGCACAGATCCTTCGCATAGAGGACCATGAAACTTGTCGTTTCCAGTGGGGATAATTTAGAGCTAGGAGGATAGATGAGAGGCGAGTATCGCTAGGCGCTTATCATGCAAATGAATGGATGCTGAAATGAAATATTGGAATCTGCCAATTATCACAAATCATGAGGTCATGAGCATACAACAAGTGACAGAAACTCTCAGTCAAGGAAAAGTAATCCTGCCTATAGCTGGAGATGGCAAATACCACAAGCGACAGCGGGTGCATATCCTTGGGCCCAAAATCGGGCTCAGCGACGAAGCAATTCGAGGTCGCTCTTATCGACTGGGAAGATGCTGGCTGGTATCCAAGCTACTGGGAGTATTGTGCAATCTTTGTGGCATTCGATTGGCAGGATGACTGGCCTGAGCGGCTAGAGGGGATTCTGGACCCTTGGCCGAGTGAGGCTACGATGCTACGGATGCTTTATTAGGACTTGTGGTTCTGAATACGATATTTTGCTCGAAATTTGCAGACGTGAACCCGAATTATTTTGTCCTCAGGAATATCGCCAGGGGAGGAAGTGACAAACCGTAAGGAGTTACACCAGGTTTGCACTGCTCCCAGGATGTCCTCGAGTCTAAAACACTTGTTACCCTTCCACAATGATAATTGTGTGGCTGCAAGGAAATCACAATCCACAGTAGTTCCCCCGCTGAATGTGAGGTGGTTGGCGATACCCCCATGCCGCTGATTGGTCGACGTTTGTCAAGTAAATACATACATGGAGACGCCAATCAGAGTCTGGATGGAAGCGCCGTTGTGACCTGTAGCATTCGAGGATCCATACATGTACCTAGGGTATGTGTTACGCGCTGGGTCCAACCGTAGTTGTCGATACTTAACAGTGGTGGTTAGGGAAGGATCAAGGAGTCTTCCTGACTCTATGTCGTTCACGAGCACGCGACGGTCTAACTGACCCGGGTCTCTTCTCCTTGAGACAACGGCCTAACTGGCGAAGGGCTCTTCCTCGAACGACCTCTCTCAGAGATATAATGGGGTCTCACAGGAACACGCAACAAGTGGGGATTCTCCAAGGCAAAATAACAACAACGACTAGGTCAGAGGCAACGCCTACTAGAGCTATACCGAAGGCTAACCGGCCTCCTTGACTTACGAAGAACACCAAAATCAGCACCTACAAAAAACACGTCTTTTTAACGCGTCATTCAACTCAGAGAGGCCCCTAGGCCCCGAGAAACCACCATGGAACCCCCCGATCTCCATGGTGGTGGTGTTATTCACGCGTCACCCCCGGCAAACGGCCACGCGGCAAGCCAGCTCACGGAGATCCTGGAGGTACCAGACACCCCAACCCCAAGCCGATGGAATATTCCAGGGCCCCTAGGGCTGGTTATGAATGAGACCGAGCAGGAAAATGATCAAGGAAACCATGAAGAAGTTCAGGATCCCCCTAGATTCCTTAGGGATGGTAAGGCACCATGCCAGGCCAGCAAAGGCCGCGGTATAACCAAACAGCAACGACGAGTCATCCAGAGACCCTTAGGGAATAAAGAAGCACTCCGAACC